ATCCATCACCTTTGACAAGTCTTGATGATATCAGATTTTGGTTGGACTCGTATAATTTTTGTGTGTCGTCTGACTTCTTTATCCACACCTGTAATAAGTCTCGATCGTATCAGATATTCGGTCTTTTGTAGGTATTGTTTGTAATAGAACTGTTTATATTTGCCTGCCATACTGGAAATAAATGTATATCTTTTATGTTTTCTGGAAATCTAATGACTGAGATGTGAAATTTCCTGGATATTGTGGTCAAATAGAGCACACATCATTCTTAAAGGATCTTCTAGAAATTGGGAGTTCATGTCATTGAACATCAGTTTTTTGTTATATATATAATTTTTTCTGCTTTATTATAAAAGAAAAAAATGTGTGGCTCTTCTTCTTGTTCCGATAAATACTTCTTGGAAGAGTTTCCTGTTATGGTAAGGTTTGAGAGATTAAAACAAAAATATTTGGTCTAGTAAATGCTCCCCAAAGTGTTGAACTTACAGAGTGATCCTTATTAAAGAAATCATCTTGTCATTTCAGTTTGCCCTATCTTTTACCATATCTAGGTTATATTCACAAGGGATTGCAACCAGATACTCTCTATTGTTTATCATAATGAGTTGGAATTAACTTATCTTTCCAACTTTCTTTGAATGACTCTAAGGACTGGTCACTGACTATTCATGGTCTTTTCTGTCACAAGTTTCAGTTTGCTAACTTTTCTTGGATGATTTTAGACTTTTAGTTCTATAAAAAATAAATATGAAATAATATTGCTTGAAATTTTTGGTTACTGCATATTACATCTGACGCAGGCCTCTCGCACACATGGCGCACCGGAGCAGCACACAGTTCACTGGCCATAGCCATTTACATCCTTAACCTTTCATCTATTGCGGGAGTGTCACAATTATCATCAACCTCACGCCACTCGGTGATCCCCGATCCTGGAAACGTTTCTAATTTTACTCTTTACCGTGCATCAGTGTTAAGGGATATATATCCCACATCGATAAATGATGTTGACACAGACCAATTAATAAAGATTTTGGGCTACTCTTCTTAACAAGGTTGAACTTTTAAGATGGACCCCCAATTTTTAATATGGTATCAGAACCCATTATGCTCCAATGAGCGATTCGATTCCGTTAAGACTCTAAAATGAGCACGTGGATTTTAAGATTGGTTTGCTCAAATGAGCCACCATCTTGCGGGGGCATGTTAAGAGATATATATCCCACATCGATAAATGATGTTGACACAGACGAATTAATAAAGATCTTGGACTACTTCTCTTAACAAAGTTGACCTTTTAAGATAAACCCCCAATTCTTAACAATCAGAACCACATTACAGTGCTCTATTCTATGCAATGACACAGTACAATGGTCCTCAACATCAGCTTCCAGTCTCGAATATTAATATAGCTGTTGCTGCACCAACTGTTCGGTACTATCCATATATGGCACCTCTATCTGGTATTAACGATATTTCTGTTCCGTTAAATTATGGGGGACATAATCAGTTGTCACGTGCAAGCACTGATGGAATCAGTGGCATTCATACAGTCAGCTATGGGAGCAACATTGCATACAGGGATGGTATCAGATCACTTAACAGAAAGAATTCTGAAGGGTTACCAGTAAATTACCAGTATCACAATGCTTCAGCAGGCTCTAGTTCTTCTGCAACTCCTACGACTGGCAAGCGAGCAGAACGTGATGTTGCTTTAATGAATGGTACATCTTTTCAACCACCTGAGCATGAAGGGAATGAACTGACGACATCAATGTTTAAGGGATATATATCCCATATCGACACAGACCAATTAATAAAGATCTTGGGCTACTCCTCTTAACAAGGTTGACCTTTTAAGATAAACCCCCAATTCTTAACAATCAGAACCGCATGACAGTGCTCTATTCTATGCAATGACACAGTACAATGGTCCTCAACATCAGCATCCAGTCTCGAATATTAATATAGCTGTTGCTGCACCAACTGTTCGGTACTATCCATATATGGCACCTCTATCTGGTATTAACGATATTTCTGTTCCGTTAAATTATGGGGGACATAATCAGTTGTCACGTGCAAGCACTGACGGAATCAGTGGCATTCATACAGTCAGCTATGGGAGCAACATTGCATACAGGGATGGTATCAGATCACTTAACAGAAAGAATTCTGAAGGGTTACCAGTAAATTACCAGTATCGCAATGCTTCAGCAGGCTCTAGTTCTTCTACAACTCCTACGACTGGCAAGCGAGCAGAACGTGATGTTGCTTTAATGAATGGTACATCTTTTCAACCACCTGAGCATGGAGGGAATGAACTGACGACATCAATGGTGGAAAATGAATTTCAGAGGAGTGCGAGGAACAGATCTAATATGATCCTTCCTGAATTTGTCATGGCAAATAACAGTAGACATTTGATTCAAGGAAGTTACTTCCCTTTACCTGTTCAGGTCCCTGGCACTTTTGTAAGGGCCCAAGCTCCCAGTATACCCAATATACATGGTAATTGAGAAGACGAGTGTTTTTTTCCCTTTCTTTTTGCCGTCGATTCATTTTGAATTTTTGTCTTCATTCTGGGACCCCCCCTCTTCCATTTCCTGGTCAGCAAGTGTCGATGGAGCTTGTGTTGAAGCTTGGAGTGTGGGTATTCGAGGCTATTAAGTAACAAACGGTAGCAGAAGTGCCTCTAGTTCTCATCCTTCCATTCTTCAAGGCCTCCACAATCTCCATAATCTACCTCTACCTATGCAAGGTATTGGAGGATATAACATTATCTTCCCTTCGCAAGTGGCTACATCTTCACACCGAATCTTGACTTCTTCGCATACCAACAGCAATCCTTAGCAGGCTATTGTCGGCGCAGATTTGCCAGCACCCGTTCCACCAACAAGCTTTCAGTTGTACTGGCAGCAACGAAGAGAAGTCATTCTTGATCCAAATGCAATGCATCAAAATCTCCCAAACATGAGACTTCTTCCAGTAGATGCAAGTGTTTTCCCTCTTTTTAGTATTCTCCCCTTTAATGTATAGTTCCTATGTTTCTGCAATAATCGGTACATTGTTTGCTACCCCCAGTCCCCCATCAGTGTAAGCTTTGATGAACCTGCAGGGGTCTCCTATAAAATTTTTCGTCATATTACTGAGTGTGCTTTAAGAGAGAATAATTTAGGGATGAAATGAAATGGAAACTAAATTTTTTTCAGTAAGCTGTTTTTTCAGCGTTTCATGAACTAAAAATTGTGATATTTATTTCGCCCACTTTCCTTCGACTGGCATTTGTAGGAAATGGCAATGCTAAACTTTCCCGGCTATCATGAAGCAGGAGTATTCATTGATCAGCACTGGGATATACGTCTAGATGTAGATCTCATGACCTATGAGGTTAGGTAGCCATGTTTGTACTTTTTATGGCCTATTACATATGGAAGATTGCTCCAATGGTGCGATTTCGTTAGATATTTGTAAAGCAGTTTATGAATGGTTGTTTCCTCACACAGGTCCAAGCCTGTGATGTAATATTACCCGCAAGGCATTTTTCTGAGCTCTGACAGTATATTGGTTACAGGAGCTTCTTGCTCTAGAGGAACAGATTGGCATTGTTGGCGCTGGACTTTCTGAAGAAGACATTCAGAATAGTTTGAAAACAAGAACTTTCTCCTCGTTGGCAACATGTTTAAATCACAAAAAGGCAGCGACAGTGGATCAACAAAGTGATTTCTGCGTCATATGCCAGGTCGTAATTTATCTTTGAGACATCTAATTATGAAGATGTTGGGGTTATATATTTTATGGTCAAGACGACATATCCTTAAATTCGTATATATTTGAAGTGATGTAAGAGTAACAATTTATTAGTCCTATACACGTATTGCGGATTATCTATCGTTCTGTCTCTTACCATGATGATTTTGCTCATGATGATTCTGTTTGCTTTGGGTTTTTGTAGGTTGATTTTGAGGATCAAGAAAATGTTGGAAACCTTGACTGCGGGCATGAGTATCATGGAGATTGCATAATGAAATGGCTGCTTATAAAAAATTCTTGTTCCATATGCAAATCCACAGCATTAACAACTGTGAAGAAGAACTGTAAATAGAGAGGACTGACGGCAGTTGGAAGACAAATTTAAATACCTATCAATTCCATTTTGCTCTTTCTAGTTACTTAAAATCAGGGATTAAAACTCATTCTGGATGTAACATATTTGTGTACATTGCATAGGTGGTCATGTCAACATGTTTGAAACACTTTCGAAGTGTAGAGAATTGTTTATTCGATTTTGAATGCGTTTCTGGTTAATTTTCTTTAGGATATATGCAGCAGTTAAATGTTGAATCTAACCTTCTTAAAAGTTTTAGAATGTGCCATTAGCTTATTCTTTTGAAGCACTTATGAAGTTAATGGACATTTTGCATGGAAGTTGCACCAAAAATGCACATACATTTAGCACGAAAGTTGCATCAAGACTACACGTACATTTAGCACGAAAGTTGCATCAACACTACACATCACCTCGTAGCTCCTTGATTTAAAACTTGAATACCAAGAAATGTGCAACATATGGGAAAATAATTTTGCAATGTTTTATTAAATCATTTGAAAGCAAGTCCTACTTAATAAAATAACAAATATAAAACAATAACAGTTCAACTAAATTAAAGGCAAATATGTCCCATGTGCAACCAAGTCTCGATCCGGCATGTAAACGTGTCTTGATCCACTTGCCGATTTCCAATTAAACTTCATTTGCATTACAAATTGTGGGATGAAGGGAGAAGATACCCTTTGAAGCCTTCCATGTAATACAACAATGAATTAAGCTATGTTTTCTTCAAATTTGGAGTTGGCTTGGCCTTAAAAATTCTTTTCGTCTCTTTTGGTTAGCTCAATTTTGGTTGATTCTCAAAGATTCAAAGCAATCAGATCTTTTAAAGATCATATAGCACGTTATAATACTAGATTCAATGCAGTTTTGACACCTCTTCGGAATCCACGACAAATAGAATAGGAAGACACATTCTTGTCAAATTATGCTGCTCTATGATTCAATATGAAACATGTATCAATATAATAGTTGGGGCTTTTGGCTGCAATAATACATTTATTATTTTGAGAAAACAAATGTTTCAAGTGCACAATTCAAATGTTGTCCAAAGACACTACAATATGCTATTGGTCAAGCTCCAAAACTAAGCCTTCATTTCCCAAATGCCGATGGTATATTCAGTAGGAAAGATAGGACAGTACCAAACAATATTAAAGAAGAAGAAGAACGAATCAATAAGATGTGCATTAATCAAATAGATAAGGAAACCAAAGAGTTGGAACTCATAGACAGATAGACCAACGCGCAATGACCACAACTTCAGACTAGATAGAGCAGCAAGCAACCTTTGAAACATCATCCTTAGTATCAACCTTTATCGTTTGCCCCTTTGGCAAAGCTGCAGGATCGTCTCCAATTTCAATTGCTTTACGGCGAAATACATGATATATTTGGGTGAGTAGTTCTGTGAAAGCATTCTCAACATTCATAGATTCAAGTGCAGAAGTCTCCATAAAATATGTTTTCTCCCTCTCAGCAAAAGACGTGCCATCCTCAGTGGATACAGCACGTAGGTGATGTAAATCTGCCTTATTTCCCACAAGCATGATCACAATATTTTGGTCCGTATGATCTCGGAGTTCTTTCAACCATCTTTCAACATTCTCGAATGTGACATGCCGTGCAACGTCATAAACAAGCAATGCACCCACAGCCCCTCGGTAGTAAGCACTTGTGATTGCTCGGTATCTTGAGACAAATAAAACATGGAGAAATAAGAAAGTTATATATGGATGTGCACTAAAATCATCCCAAATTATGAATTCATGAACAAGTTATGGAGAAAGTGCAATTTATGTAACTGAATAAATTTCAATTTTACTCCATTATCATGTCACTTAAAACTGTCAGTTATTGAAGGCAACACAAAAGGAGCTCCATCCATTGAAAAACAGGAATACATACTAATAATTTTATCATTTCCTTATAAGTGTTGTAATAATAATGTATTGGTCTACATACAAGTTCAAAGAAATGAAATAACACAAAGTTCAATAATTGATGGAAGTTTCCAGAATCCTTTCTAAAGTAGATGAAGGATTCAAACCATTGTTTAACCTTGAAGAGCCAAGGGTTCAATTGGATGAATGGTTCAATTTGATTTCAAACAGTTTTTAGCGGTTTAAGTTATCACAGTGGGAGCATGAAAATAATAAGAATGTCAAACTACAGTGATCTTACCAAATTTGATCCCAGTCAAGATTTGTTATAGCTATATTAAACTTTGAATTAAGTCCGATTTGCAGAACCACAAAACTATGTCAAGGAGACAGAGTAATTCCAAATTCCTAAAACGATTTAAAAACTCTAGGATCAAAAATAGAAAAAAAAAATTAGAAAATTATCAAAGAATCAGAGTAAAACAAAGAAATGATAACAGTAAAAGGGTACCGTTCTTGGCCGGCAGTGTCCCAAATCTGAGCCTTGACGATCTTATCCTCGACGTGGACACTCCGCGTGGCAAATTCCACGCCGATTGTTGACTTAGACTCTAAGTTGAACTCATTGCGCGCAAATCTCGATAGCAAATTGGATTTCCCTACTCCCGAATCGCCGATCAGCACCACCTTGAACAAGTAATCGTAGTCGTCTTCCGCCCTGTATCCCCCCGCCATTTCAATTCAATGTATGTAGATATGCATTTTTCTGTAGTTATATTTGCTGAGATAGAGCTCAAAACTCCATGTATTGGCCGCCGGGGGTGGTGGTTAGCTTCAAGTAATGCTAGTATGAGTTGGCAATTTATTACAGCATCACATGAGATTTGAGACATGTTTGGCTAGGTATAAACAATTAACTTTTCCTTTTTCTAAGCTTATTGTAGATTATTACTTTTTCCCTACTGTCAAGTAAAAAATGTTTATATTAGACGTTAATTTAAAAAAGTAAGTATAACTTTGATTATAAAAGCCATTTATTAGCCAAACAGATAGAATTGAATCTTTTCCGGTTTTGGTCAAATACATTTCAAATTGGATTATTCTTGGTGTAGAAGAGGGGTTTCACATAACCCCACTAGACTATACACCATAGGTGGGCCCCCACATTTCAAATTGGATTATTCTTGGTGTGGAAGAGGGGTTTCACATAACCCCACTAGACTACACACAATAGGTGGGCCCCCATGTGGGACCCACCTCATAAAAAATACCCTCATTTCAAATTATTATCTTGAGGTTATGAATTTTTTAATGACATATCATACTCGTCATTGCAAAATAATTCTCTTTCCCTATATCTTCATTGAAGACTGTCACTCGCAAATCTCCGATGACCCAAAACTTTTTGAGTGTTGCTCTTCAAATTAGCTTCATCCTAATTCTTAGTCTCCCTTCCGTTTTATTTTTATTTCATTCCTCTTATTTCGGGTCTCATACATAGCACAAACTTGTACATACGTCGCACAAAGCTCGCACATATGCAACTTGTTCTACTACTCACTGCATTTTATGTTATTTTATGAGTTTAGTACACTATTGGAGATCGACTCATATTTCAAAGGCGGCAAGTCCTTATAATTTAGATGTACCTCGCAAGTACTTTTCTCTTTGGGGTCTGCACATATTCCATAGGCGACTCTGTCCTTGCCTTTTTTCATGATGACTAAGTCCTTATATTTTAGATGTACCTCGCAAGTACTTTTCTATTTGGGGTCTGCACATATTCCATAGGCGACTATGTCCTTGCCTTTTTTCATGATGACTCATATCTCAGAGGATATTTAGAAGCATATTTCCTATTTAAAATCGACATATATTTTAGAGGCAGTTTGTGTTGTCACAAATTTCATAGGCCATCAACTAGCTAAAAACAATTTATTATATTCAGGGTGATGTCGCAAGCTACTAACTCTTCTAATTTTCTTTTTAGTCTAACCCGCACATAACTGTAGGACTCGAAACTTAGGAGACTAATGTTATGCCCATATGGCGCAGCGGAATAAGGGCTCCATTCTTATATATATGTAAATCATTGCACAAAAAATATATGAAATGAAACCCTTGCCAAGAAAGGTGGTGCTACAGGGAACACAGTACCAGAACGACGTCAAAAAAGTTTTCAACATTCTAAATCATGTTCGTCCTAGGTTTCTGAAACTGGAGGCTTCTAAAGAAATCAAGAGGAGAATCTTGAGCAGGGCAGAAATTCCAAGTAGAAGGACCATGTAGAAAAGGTTACAGAAAATGAGTTGTATGATTTGATAGAGCACAAACTATTCCAAGGGAGATAGCCTGGATGAACTTCCAGGTCTTGTTGATTTCTCTGTCTTTCTTCAGCTCATACTCAAGCAACAAACTGAAGTTGAAGGGCTGAAAAACTTAGGAGGCAAAAAGTTCCAGATCTTGTGGATTTCTCCATCTTTCTTAAAGAATTCTGATGTGAGAGAGAATTGATAAGGAAAAATTGATTAGATTTTGAACAAAGATGATGTGAGAGAGGGTGTAAAAGTTAAATTCTACCTGAATCTTCTCCACCTTTGTGAATCTACTTGCGAGAAGCTATTGGTTTTCAGTCAATATCTCCTGCCTCTAAAATTCTTGGAGAGACTAGGTGAAAAAGTGAAGGGTTACAGCCTCGGCAAGGAGATGTTCATGATCAAGGGTTATACCTTTCTTAGTGTTGCTCTTCCGATTAGCTTCATCCTAGGTAAATTCTTAGTCCCTTTTCCATTTTCTTTTTATTTTATTCTTCTTCTCTTGTGTCTTTCTTTATCATTTTATACACAATATGAGCTTGCACAGATGCTGCACAAAGTTTGTATTGGAATAAAGTCACTTTGTTGGACTAAAGAGGCAACTATATCTTCACCATTTAGCTGCAATTGTTGACTTGTGTAGGTTGCATGGATTTAATGTTGAAGAAAAATGCATGCAATGTTGGTAGAAGTTGGCAGCAATTTCTTGTGTGTTAAATTTCTACACTGTAATTAAATGGACGTGGAGAAATTTTCCTATAAATAGATGGCTAAGGCTGAAGGAAGCAGCAAGCAAATTGAGAGAAATTGAAAGCATGAGTAGAGAGATAAATTATAGAGAGAAAAATATTGTGTTCTCCTGAGTGTTTCCTACTTAGTTTCTCCTATTACAAGAGAGATTAATTATTGTTATCTCATTGTATTACTTGTGGATGAGTCCAGTTCGTTCGCTGACGCGTTTTCAGTTCGTTCCTAATGCAATCACCTCGGCATGTACAATCAGTTCGGTTTCTAGTTTAATCACCTCGTCCGGTACGTGGCTTGGGCCACGGGTGTGGACACGTGGCGGGTGAGGTGGCGGGTCTGACACAGGCCCGTAACAAAACCCTTGCCAAGAAAGGTGGTGCTACAGGGAACACAGTACTAGAACGGCGTCAAAGAAGTTTTCAACATTCTAAATCATGTTCGTCCTAGGTTTCTGAAACTGGAGACTTCTAAAGAAATCAAGAGGAGAATCTTGAGCAGGGCAGAAATTCCAAGTAGAAGGACCACGCAGAAAAGGTTACAGAAAATGAGTTGTATGATTTGATAGAGCACAAACTATTCCAAGGGAGATAGCCTGGATGAACTTCCAAGTCTTGTTGATTTCTCTGTATTTCTTCAGTTCAGCCTCAAGCAGCAAACTGAAGTTGAAGGGCTGAAAAACTTAGGAGGCAAAAAGTTCCAGATCTTGTTGATTTCTCCATCTTTCTTAAAGAATTCTGATGTGAGAGAGAGAATTGATTAGATTTTGAACAAAGATGATGTGAGAGAGGGTGTAAAAGTTAAATTCTACCTTAATCTTCTCCACCTTTGTGAATCTACTTGCGAGAAGCTATTGGTTTTCAGTCAATATCTCCTGCCTCTAAAATTCTTGGAGAGACTAGGTGCAAAAGTGAAGGGTTACAGCCTCGGCAAGGAGATGTTTATGATCAAAGGCTATACCTTTCTTAGTGTTGCTCTTCCGATTAGCTTCATCCTAGGTAAATTCTTAGTCCCTTTTCCATTTTCTTTTTATTTTATTCGTCTTCTCTTGTGTCTTTCTTTATCATCTTATACACAATATGAGCTTGCACAGATGCTGCACAAAGTTTGTATTGGAATAAAGTCACTTTGTTGAACCAAAGAGGCAACTATATCTTCACCATTTAGCTGCAATTGTTGACTTGTGTAGGTTGCATGGATTTAATGTTGAAGAAAAATGCATGCAATGTTGGTAGAAGTTGGCAGCAATTTCTTGTGTGTTGAATTTCTACACTGCAATTAAATGGACGTGGAGAAATTTTTCTATAAATAGATGGCCAAGGCTGAAGGAAGTAGCAAGCAAATTGAGAGGAATTGAAAGCATGAGTAGCAAGATAAATTATAGAGAGAAAAATATNTAGAGAGGTAAAACATTATTGTTTCTCCTAAGTTTTTCCTACTTGTTTTCTCCTATTTCAAGAGAGATTAATTGTTGTTATCTCCTTGAATTTAGAGAGTGTTATTGTAATTCTCCTACTATTGTGAAGTCCTTCTATACTTGCCCGTGGACGTAAACTAAATTGGGTGAACCACGTAAATATTTGTGTCCAATTTTTAGCCGTATTTTCTCAATTCCATTTTCGTTGTAAGCTAAACTTGACCCACGTTTTCCTAACAGCTTGCACAGATGAACCTTGTTCTGGTACTTATTGGGGTTTTTTGTTATTCCAAATCTTTTGCTGCCATTGTATAGCTCATTCATCATTAACTTAATTCTTTTCAAACGTGATAGGATTCTGCTGCAGATCCTCTACCAGATGAAAATAAAGCTAAGACCAGAAAAGACTCTGAACATTGCTTTATACTAAAAGATGATAGTGGTGAGGTTTGTGGCATTTGTGGAATCACTATGAGAAGCATCGAAAACATTATTAAGTATAACGGTGATGTGGCACAGTCGGCTCTGATCAAATTGTATGATCGCAAGAACATCATTCCATTTAATAATGAGCCAAGAATTCTTTTCAATAATTCAACATTAAATTATTGTATCGATTCATGTTTGTTCACATAGTTAATTCTTTTGCCAACGAAGATTTGATTTAACTAAATTTCCCTTCTCCGATTTATATTCAAGGTACAAAGCATACATATACCAAATGCAGACTACTTGGATCAAACTAGAATCCTTCCAGATGGGGTTCAAACCATCTGCTACAAGAAGTCAGATTGTCAATTTCACTAGTAGATTATGATTTTGATATGTAATAATTGATTTTACAATTCATTTATTGTAGTTTTATATTCACTTAATTTGTATTTTGAAATTATGGATTGAGCGACAAGAGGACGAAAATGATAAACACAGGTGAAGGAAGTTCAAAGGTTGTAGACCAGTCCAATCCACTCCTTAATCCCTATTAGCAATTGGTAAAAAGATAAGTGGAAAGTGCTTTAGTTTGGGGGCAAGCTTTGCCATGTGAGATAACTTAGCCACATAATCAGTGTCTCGTCTAGGCATTCCATTCCAATCAAGGAGCAGAAGAGTTGGATTCTCTCAAATATAAAATCTATATTGAACATATTCAGGACCTCGTATGAAGGAGGCAGTCATTAGATGCTCAGTATGCAACGAATCATGCACCCACTACAACAAAAAAACATTTTGCAACGATCATAAAACGTTGTCGAAAACCT